CTACTAAAAATTTTCACAACCTGAAATCTGATGCTTGGAGAGTAGCTAGAATGCATGAAGCTAATTTATAGGTGAATGGGGAGACTGATCATTTTTATTTTAGTGTATCATTGAATATATGCATGCTCTAATATGTAATTATGGAATAAAATATGTATTAGATTCTCTATATATGCTTATTATACACTATCCATATAGTTGTAGTTCATTCCATTTATAGTGTCATGTCCCATAATTTTCTATAAAACTAGGATTTTATGCACGTGATTAAATATTATGATTAAGTATTTTTGACTTATTCCTTTACTAAAATTTGTTTCTCAGTTCCACTTTGATTGTTTTTTTCACTTATGTTTTCAAACTTTACTATTGTGATTATTATTTTTTAATGTTTGTTTGAATGAGCTACACCAAATTTAAAATTTTTATGTAATAATTGAATTGACAAGAAATAACTATAATCTAAAGCTAATTTGAATTTTCTCGTTATTTAGATCGGCATAAAACCAAACTTGACTTAAGAAGGTATAATGTTATAAAAGTGAAAAACACTTGAAAAGATAATGTTATAAAATAAGGATGAATAATTAAATCCAATAAGACAAGATAATTAATTAAAAGTGGGCTAGAATGAAACTAAAGAGAATATAAATTTTGTTGCTAATCAATGATAGACTTTAGAAAAAAATTATAAAATAAATATTAATGCTAACTCTAGTACACTTTTATATGATAAAAGCATCTACATAACCATATAAAATTAAAAGAGTTCATAAAAATAACTTCTAAAGATTCCTGATTTTACTTAAAAAATTAAGCTATTTTTAAAAATATTAAATAATTTAAATTTATGTTGTATTTATAAAGAACCTTGATGGAGATGCTTTTATTTTAGCAGCTTGTTCTGAATGAGCCATGCATATTAGCTTTAAAGTGTAATATTTTTTTTATCGTGTTATATGGATGTTTGCTTGGTTTGCTTATCTATCTCTTATTTCTTCAATAAGTTGATATATTATTAACACAATTTACGATGACATACATATCTTTCATACAAATTTGAGACAAGTATAAGATGAAATTTATATTTAATGGCATTTAATAAGAATTTTAGTTGTAAAATATGTTACCTTCATATTTAAAGATCTTGAAATCTAACAGTACTATTACATGCTTATCTTTGATCATGTTCTTAAAAATTGATCTTTCGTTGGTAGTCATATCCCCAAATAAGGATACTTCCAGAGTCGTGCCACTATATAGAGAAAAGAAAAATATCAATTTTAATTTTTTTACTTACACTAAGGTAACTAAGTATCATGTGCATATTTTTTGTCCATTATAGTGATTTTTCTCATCTTATCTAGTTTATTATATCTCGCAATATAGTTGATCAATGGCTTCACTTTAGTTTCTATTACAAGATTATTTATATGAAATTATATATTAAGTTTATGATTCCTTCAGTATTTTTAGAATAAAGTATGAAAATTTATAAGTACTTACTAATTTTTCTTGTACTCTTTATGAATAATGTGTTTTTAATTAGGATATAATTGTTCAATATGTTCTTCAAGGAGAACTAAGTTAGTGCTTTTTTGCTCGATATGTTTTTTATCAATGTCAATTCAGGTGATTCATGAATGTTTCTGAATTTTGAGTTTATTTCATTCACTTCTCAATTTGAAACGAAAACAACTTAGTTCTTTTAAAGGATATCTCTAAACTTTCTGATAGTTTCTCCATAAATAACTCCTTTTACTTTATAAATAAATATTATCAATATTAGAGATAAATGTTTATACATTATAATCAATTAATGCTAACCTATTGTTTTCGTCGGAAGTTACCTTCATTACTGATTTCATTATAACTTTAGTCGTTTACAAAGAATTCAAATAACAAAAATAAAAATTATAACTTTCTTGAAAATAAACACAAGATCCGTTTATCGGCTCTTGCTTACGTGGGTTCTTCGCCGGTGCCCGGGTTTATCCGTGGATGACCGCGAATCAGATTCGGTTGTCAGAAAATTAGGCAGAGCTCCTACCTCACCAAGGAGGTATTCGCTTGAAGCGCTGAAATCGACTAAGCAAAATCAATAGCTCTTCTCGAGATTAAGACAAAGCCTAATCTCAAGGAACGAACGTACGGGCTTCAGATCCTTCGAATGGTTTCTTCTTTGTGCCGAAGTTCATCGGGATCTCGTTTGCCTTTGCTGAAATTTCGTGCTCCTTGACTCTTCAATCCAGCAGCACCTTGTCCTCTTGAAAAATTCCAGATCTTGAAAATGGAGGCCTTGAGCTGATATTTATAGGCCTTGGGTGCGGATATTTGGATGAGAACAAGTGATTTGGCTCTATCTTCAGTTAACAATAGCCTAACCACATTTGGGGATGATATCAAGTCAGTTAGGAACCCTTGAAATAGATAAATCCTCCGAAAAACCGCTTTAAAACCGTCAAAATGTGTATTGGGCCTCGAACTGCGCGACGGACAAATCCGACCCGCGCTTGCGCGGGTCGGTCTGTTCCGTTCCGCGCTAGCACGGGTTCGTCACCTCTGACGGTTTTCGTTCTAGGACTTGTTCTTTTTAACCGTTTCATGTATTTGAGAAATTTGTTGATTTGTACGCTTTGTTACGGGACTGACCGTCGAATGCGCGTTGGTTTATGTACGTGTGTTGATTGATGTGCGCTTGTTGATTTGACGTGCGCGCGTTCACCGACGCGCACATGTTGATTTGACGTGCGGACGCGCACGGGCTGATTGGCGTGTGCACGTTGACTGACGCATGCAAGCTGATTGACGTGTGCGCTCGAGATCATTTGACGTGCGCGCGCTGACCAAAGCGCACGAGATGATTTGACGCACGCGCTCTGACCGATGCATACGAGCTGTTTGACGTGCGCGTGTTGATTGATGCGCGCATGTTGATTTGACGTGCGCGCGTTCACCGACACACATAGGTTGATTTGACGTACAGACGCGCACGGGCTGATTGGCGTGCGCGTGTTGACTGATGCGCGCGAGCTGATTGACGTGTGCACACGAGATCATTTGACGTGCGCGCGCTAACTGACGCGCACGACATGATTTGAAGTGCGCGTGCTGACCGATGCGTACGAGCTGTTTGATGTGCGCGCGTTGACCGACGCACACAAGCTGGTTGACGTGTGTGCATTGTCCGACGTGCACGAGATGATTTGACGTGTGCGTGCTGACCAAGGCGCACGAGCTGTTTGACGTGCGTGCGTTGACGGACGCGCACAAGCTTGATTGACGTGTGCGTTTTGACCGACACGCACTGCCTGATTGAGGTGCGCGCGTTGACCGACGCACACGAGCTGATTAGCGTGAACGCATTGACCGACACGCACGGGCTGATTGACGTGAGCGCTGACCGACGTGCACGAGATGATTTGACGTGCGCGCGTTGACGGACGCGCACGAGCTAATTGGGTGAATCTTCTTGACTCGCCCACTCATTGCTTCGAGTTGCGTACGAGAAGTTATAGGTAATTTTAGACCCCTACAGATACACCCTCCAAAGTGTTTCAGCCTCATTCTTTTATAGAGGAGTCTGAAATACTTTGGATATAATTGGCCCCCACCTTCAATCGGTGTCAAAAGGACCTACAATTAACTCCAGTTCTTGACTTCTCCGCATATCAGCTAATTCAATATTTTGTCAAATGACTAAAATTCTTTCGGTACTGCATTTATCGTCTGACCGTTGTCGAAGTCTCGAACCAAAATTCGTAAGTTGATTTTGGCTTGTGTCATTTAGTTGACTTTGGACTGATTATATGTGCCGCCATACATCGTATCGATCGGCGTTGACCTTAGGGTTTCGTATCGATCGGCATTGACCTTAGGGTTTCGCATCGATCGGCATTGACTCTCATTGCAATGCGTTGACCGGTGTTGACCTAGGGCTACGCGTTGACCGGCGTTGACCGGCGTTGACCTTAGGATTTCGTATCGATCGGTGTTGACTCTCATCGTAACCCGTTGACCGGCGTTGACCTAGGGCTATGCGTTAACCTGAGGAGAACTTGTTTATACCCGTGTACTCTTGGGAGTTTCAGGAATCAGTTTAACCTCGTGTACCCGTCGGAGGTTGCAGGGTTATCCTTAAGAATTATTATATATATAATATTCTCTAGTAACTTCCCGTCAAAATGAGGAAAAGTTTAGACTCATATACCCATTGGAGTGTTCGTGGGTTTCGAATATCTCGAATATGAGAATAAACGCTGTGAGATTAATTGGGAATATGAAAGTGGGTCCCGAACATTCCGTGGATGAGCGAAATTGCCGCGAAGCCATCCGAAAATTTAAATTTAGGTCCCGAATATTCTGAAAATAGGCTGAAATGCTGAGAAACCACCCAAAAATTTAAAATTGGGTCCCGAATATTCTAGATATGAGCGAAATGCCGTGAAGCCAAAAATTTAAAATTGGGTCCCAAATATTCTGAAAATGAGCGAAATGCCGCGAAATCACCTAAAAATAAGAAATTGGGTCCCGAATATCCTGAACATGAGTGAAATGCCGTGAAATCCCCTAAAAATATAAAATTGAACTCCGAACATTCCGAAAATAGGAGAAATCAGGCAAGAATACAACGAAAACGACCGAGGTGAGTCTGACACGCGTTCACACGGGTCAGATGGATCCGACCCGCGTGAGCGCGGGTCGGATTAATCTGACCCGCGCGCACATGGGTCGGACACAAATCCGACCCGCGAAACACGGCTCGGGTGCCTGTGTAAAGGGGAGTAAAACCCCTTCTTCTCTTCTTCTTCCATCTATTTCTTCTCAACTTTGGTTTTTTTTCTTCCTTGCTCTAACCCTTCAAGAGTTCTTCTCCCTCAAGAGTTCCAAACGAATCAAAGCTCCCCCCCCAGCCCTTTTAATCTCTCATCAATTCCTTCCTCTCCTCTTCCGACTTGGATCCGAGCAAAGGGGGAAATTCGAGCTTTAGGGTTTCGGCGCTTGGTTTCGGATTTCGATTTCAGGTAAGAGCTAAGCCTTATGTTCTTGATTTTGGTAGCCCTCCTCCAATTGATTTGGTTTTCACTCTATTTTTCTTGATTTCTTGCTAGGGTCTCAACTCTTTCCTTTGTCTCAGATTCAAGTTTTGTTTTGTGGATTCCCTTAACTCAGATCACCCTCCTCACGAGTTCAGGTGAACCCACATCCATTGCTTCCATTTGATTTCTTTGTCCTGAACCCTAGTTCTTGGACTTGAAGGGAAAAACTCAAATGTGAGCTTTTGAGTCTCTTGAATGGTAGCCGAAATTTTGTTGAAGGTTAATTGGACTTGATTTTAGGTTGTGGTGACATTGACATGGCCGACCCCTTAGCTTTGTTACAATTGATCATCGAAACTTTGGGTTTTGATGATGATCCTTTCTGTTTGGTGATAACCGAAATTCTTTCACCTTTAACAACGCGTTTGCAATCCCCCCCCCCCCCCCCCTTTTTTTTTTTTGCTTGAGAACTTACTTCGGGGAATTAGTCTTGGCTTTTGAATAATAACCAAACTGTTATGATGGCAACTGAAAACCCTTAACTCGATTCTGTATATGAACCGAAACTTCGATTCTGTATATGAACTGAAACTTCTAAGTCGATTTTGAGAACTTAGTTTTCAATTATTGCTTCTAAGGGAATACCTGAAGCTTTGAATTTTGAAATTGGGCATGACTGAACCTTTGTATGCAAGAACTTTGTATATGGTTTGAACTCAAACTTGCACATAACCGAGCTCTTGTATATGATTGAATTCGTATGTAACTGAATTCTTGTATATGATTGAACTCGTGTATGCCTTGAATCCAAACTTGTATGTGGCCGAATGATTTGAATTCGAACATGGCGATTGGTTTGAATTTCTTTAGCTTCGAATCCTTGTCAACATTAAGCCCTTGAAATACTTGGTTGTATAGATAACTTTATATGATTTACTTCTTGTTCAACCCTTGTATGTATGATCATGACACTCAAATCAACACCCATGCTTCTAATTTCGGGTGATTCTGTGAATTTGTAAATCTTCATATTGACATGGTCGAGACCCTTAGTTTGGCTTTGTGACCTTCGACTTGATCTCGCCCTTGAATTTTCATGCTCGATTATGTGAGTGAGCTATGTAGGAGGCGCTTGATCTACTTGACTTGTATATTTGATTTTCCTCTCAGTTTAACTTCAATCGAGGATGCCATATAGGTTTAATTGGATCTTTCACTAGAAAATTCCATTTTGTGGAATTTCAGTCGAAGATTCATAATTTCCTTTTTTAAGCTTTGATATATATATACCCTGATTTTTTGCTCTAACTGAATTGCTGACCCTTATTACAGATTAGTCATGTCTACAAGGAAATCATGCCTCCCAAGGAGCCGCTCAGCTACTTAGTCGCCTGAGAGGGAGCATTTATCCTTCACTGGTAATCCTTCATAATTTTCTTGCTTATGAACTCAATTTTATTATATCATATTGTATATCGCATTCCCTCTCTGTCTTCCTTGGTGAGGCAGTGGGGAAGAGCTAGTATCCTCCTTTGTGGGGGTGGATGCTTCTATATTACATCCCTGCTCTATTCTCCTTAGTGAAGTAGTTGAGAAAAGCTGATATCCTCCTTTGTGGGGGTGGATGCTTATCGGATACGTTTTTCTTGGTCAAAACGCGTCTTAAGGCAATATGGGGTGATTTTCTGCCATATTACGTTCCGTACGATAGGGTACATCACCATGTTACTTGCCTAAAAATGTACGTTATCTTGTGAGTTCGTAATACTGCTAAAATCGTCTCGCTAATTATAAGGTGGTGACTCTATTTCACGGATTGGTGAAAAGAATTCAACCCCCTGTATTATATTGATATTTCTTCATAAACACGTTCGATAAACACGCCTTCTTCATTTTAGTTGAATACCCGACGACGCCATTTTCTTAATTCGAGATAGATGGCCATAGGAGTAGGTATTACACTGCCGTTGATAACCCGACATCGATCCCGCACACTTCTCAATTTGCCTTGGACCTCCCGGATGAATTCTCTAAGTTAATACGAGAGGGGGGTCATCGCATCATGCGCCAATTGATTACTAACACGTCGTTCCCTGAAGATACAGATCCTGAACATTCTTTAAGGAGACCGTATTACCTGTTTGGCGATTCCGTGACAGATCCAGACGTCGTAAATTCGAAGAGGAGCGGTGGCTACACCATGACGGTACAACTTGCTTATATCTTCCTCCGTTCCCTCGTCATCGTTCGCTAACAGAATTGCGGGGGCAAGCGGTGACGCGACAGATGTCGTGGACCCTGATGGAGGAGCATACCAATATCCCCTGTGGATACATCACCAGTCATTCACTCCCAGGTTCTAATAGCAGAAAACATATCACAGGATTACACCCGGACGTAATGGGATTGGAGCACCCGCCTAAAGGGGAGCTACCTATAATAGCTTGCACAGTTAGGAATTGCCTTGCTGAGCTAGGGCGAGAGCTGCCCATCGACAATTACAGGTGCTTTGGTTGGTCTCATTCTTTAGACAAATCATGGTGGGGCCGAATGACAGGTTATGTCCTTCATCGGCGGGATGCTGAACTGAAGTCGATAAGATTATACGAAGCTATTTGGGCCACCCAATATGGAATACTGGTGAACGCTCTCCACTTCATAGGATTGATAGAGCTGTACAACCCGGATACCAACACATTTCTTACTCGGAGCGGAGAATTGGGACTACCCGGGATTGATAGAGCTGTACAACCCGGATACCAACACATTTCTTACTCGGAGCGGAGAATTGGGACTACCCTTCCACGAGATGCACAAGGTCTCCGCGGAGCGGAGAATTGGGACTACCCTTCCACGAGATGCACAAGGTCTCCGGGCTGCAAATGGGAGATATGCTTTATCAGGAATATTTTTCCTCCAACCGGGAGCTATATCAATGGAAAACCCATAAGCTCGCTCGATACGACATGTTGTGGGAACACACGTGTCATTATCAGATTGCTTTAGCTGGCACTAATCCTGTTACGAGGAAGAAGTCTCCTCAAATAAGCTTGAAGCAATTCTCCTGTTATTTATTCAAGAATTTGGAGAAAACTGACGAAGCTGTTTGTGAACTGAAGCCGTTGACTCCTTTAGAGATCAACCAGTTGATTACAAAATGCGATGCCCAATCTTACACTATTGCCAGTGTCCAAGGAAAATTTTCCGTGGGGACTAAGTTCAAGACTTTCTTGTGGCACGTCCAGAAGCCCATTCATCCTATAACTTTATTGGTTGGTTATATAGCACTTTGGTTGAAGAAGTGTGTAGTGCCGTACCAGACCTCGGACGTTTTTCCGATAGAAGTGCTATTCCCTACTGTTCAGCTTGCTTATGGAAAGAGCCTATCTCTTTTGCTAGCAATGGTCGCCGGCATACACCGCAGGCTTCGTCAGGTGGTTACAGCTTTTACTCAAGCTGATGGGACCCCATCCGCGAAGATCCCCACGACGAAGGCCGAGCTCCCTTACACCTACCTGATAGGGTGGCTAGTTCTTCATTGTCCTGATCTGATGTCACCTCCTGCTATCTATCTACTCCTCTGATACAATTGTACAAGGGGTGTAAATGGTTGGCTCGGGACTTTTCAGGAATTCGGAGGAGTTTGCATATGCACAAGGGTTGGGTGATCAATCCATGCCTCCCTCGCTTTGCCGGCAAATATGGTGGGATGCTTACTGATATAGAAGCGTCTGGAACCGATCGAACTTGTCTCGATGTTGGGTGCTTCAGGTGGCTCATGAATATAAGGCTAGGCCATCTCCTTTTTTTGAGTAAAGGAGCGCTGCTATTTGGAGCGTTATCTGCCATGCCGGTTCGCCCGTCAAGTTGGATACGACCAGCTATACATTAGGAATCCGAACCAATGGTTTTACACTCGTGGCGGGCTAGTGGATGGTGCCCGAGCCTGGCTGTGGAATGTAACGGGCTGTACTAGCGTTTAATTTTGTCTCCCGAATACTAATCGCCGCTTAGAGCTCACATATCTATGTTGCAAATGGATCATGGCTGCTAACGGGCCCATCCCCTGAGGTCAATTGAGGATCTGATGGCTGAAGCTGCATCGCGTATCACTGTGAGGCTAGTTCGAGAAGATGTATTGGAACGAAGGAGACGCGACAGTAAGCTTGCTGGTCCCTCAGGTAAAGGCAAGCGGAAAATAGAGGAAGTTGAAGAGGAGTCATTTGCTTCTGAGGAGGAAACTTCCGAAGAAAATGAAGTCGCTGTTGATGGTGCTACGAAAGTCAACAGCGACTTCGAGAAAGATGCAGTAGTTTTGTCTGAATCTTTTTATAAAGAATTATGGGATCTATCAATCGCTGATCGAGTTTGTCGACTCAAAGCTCAAAAAAATGGAGGATTTTTCCAACTTATAACAGAATGATGGTTGAACTTTCAGATGTAGGTTCCGAGGAAGAAGATGAGGGAAGTAGCCTCGTTACTCGTGCCCGACTTCGGGCCACAACTCAAGCAGGATCACAAGTTGGGGCGCGTGCTGCACCGACACAGGATAGACCTAAGGATTTAAAAGAGGCCCGCCCTACTAAACGCTTGCAACTAACCATCAAGCGACGCGCCAAACCTCAGACTTCTCGAACGGAGGTGGTCGACGATACACTTGTTGGTGAGGAAGGTAATATTTCGGCTCTTGTCGTCTTTCCGGTTCTTTCCTCTACCAAGCTTTAGGCATAACAAATTCTATATTCCAGGGGGTCATGACGAAGATGCGATGATGTACGACCACCCTTCTCCTGACATAGCCTTTTTTGGAGGACCTTGCTTCGTACCACAAGCAGATGAGGCCGCAGATCAGATTCTGCCCGGTGCTGAAACAAACGTAGTACCTAAAATTGGCAAAAGTACCGTTATTGGATCAAACTTGCTCGTGATGATTGCTAGCCTAGGTATACCTATTAACGGTAGTACGCCTTTTAGATGGCAATCTAGGGTATTAAATGATTCAGAGTTCGTCCCTCCCCTAATTGCTTATATGCATCTGGCTCTTCTAGAAAAATTGCAAGAGGCCATTGCTGATGTCGGGATGACAGAGCCTGCAGTTACTACCGGAGGTAACTTTAATGCCTATTCATCATCAATTTCCAACTTCTCATACCATATCTCAACACTTAAACCTTTCTGTAGATATTTTGATGGAAGGAACCTCTCACAATGCAGTCGGCACACCTCCATCTGATCATGTACAAGATCCTTCGGGTTCTGGCGATAGGCTGCTCGACGACATATTATCAGAACAAACTCGCCGAGATGCTATCGAACCGAACACCGAAACTGTTGAACCGATCATTGAAA